CAAAAAGGAAAGGTGCACTTTTCTTAAATGTGCAGTCAGTTCAAAACAGCGTGGTTATGCAAATTGTTCTCGTTCCCAATCACGCAAAAATCGCCTTAATTACTCTAACGCCTACCATTCTGCGGTTGAAGAACAAACGCACTCCATGCCTGCCACCCTACGGGGCAAGTTTGATCATCATCCTCGGATTGCAAGTTGATAGGTCCCTGCTATAATACTAGTCGTACCGGAATTGAATTGACTTCCAAATGTCTACTAAATCCCGTCTAGCGCACACTTCTCTTTGTCCCGTACTTGTTTTTTTTATTTGAAGTAAACTTTCATCCCGTTAGATCTTTTGTATTGGTTGTTGAGACCCTGTTCACTTTTACATCCGACTTTATCCTAACTTCAGCCAGTCAAGGAGAAGCCTGAGGACGCAGAACTTGACGGTGGTTTACGTATCCCTGGAGAAATCTGGGCCCGCCTCTATGATTACCAGCGAACTGGGGTTCGATGGCTTTGGCAACTTCACCGGCATGGCACTGGTGGTATTCTTGGTGATGAAATGGGTCTCGGAAAGACTATCCAAGTAATTATTTTCGATGCAAAGTGGGATTCGCCACTACCCTCCAGTCTTTACACACATACCCCTGTAACTTATAATTCGATCTTCTATGGATTTACTATAGTTCTTGATTAAATCAATAAAAAACTGCTAATTTTTTTTCAAGGAAACTGTCGTATATAGAAGAATAGGTTGGTCAGAGTTTTAACGCGGAATATTATCCCGCCTTACTTCATCCATGGATGCAAGCTAGTTTTCATTGATAGTCTCCTGCGGCCTCTTATGGATGTTTTATTGTTTCGTTTATCGTTTTTTTCTTTTTTGTCGGTGCTTTTGCCTACCCAGTAATTTATTGTGGTGGCTTTAATTGTAGAATTATTTTGTATATAGGCTAGTATGGGGATCATGTTGAGTAATGCAGTCTTGAAATGTTCGCAGTTCACAGGTCATTTCAGCATGCGTTCCAAGTTTCGGGTTTCTTTCGTTATTAATTTGTGTACTGGATCCGTATGTTCTAACATAGTGCTCTATTTTACGAACTTTTACAAGTGATTTATATAAGTGTTTTTAAAAAGTAATATTTCCTATGTTTTATAATTCTGATCACAGTTTTTTTGGGGGGCATAGCATGGTCCATATAGTAAGTTTTGCAGAATGACTGTCCCAAATAATCTAAGACCTCAATCAATAGGTTCTAGAAAATGTAACTGCCGTCAAAATAGTTAGAAGTTTTGTTTTACCCGTTAATTTAAGGGCAAAGGGATGTGATTAGAAAAACGAATAGGTACATCAAAGCAGCGCGAAAATATGCTTCGTTTATGACCCAACAAGTTCCCGTCTTTTGATAAAGTTAGTTTCTTCTTTCACCTTATGCCATCGTTTTCTGTCATTCCAATGTTGGTACTTCTTTTTCTACCCCATACACTACTATTCTGTCTTATTTCTGACCCCCTAGATCATCGCCTTCCTGGCCGGTCTTCGACATTCGCATTTGCCTTCCACTGATAGCATCTTCCAAATGGCTATGTCTCGATCACGTAACAGCGTTAGATCAGCTTACGATGACGGGTAAAGCTAGACTTTGGTTCCTTTTTTGTACTGAAGGTGCTGTCATCTAAGAGATCACGTTTTTAGGTCAACTTTTCGCTCGTTCAAATTCTTTTTTTCATCTTCCTGAGGCATAACTGTCTCTTCGAACTATCTTTATTTGCCAATGTAATATACCTGCTTAATGCAGACCCTTTTTGTCAAGTTACCTTTCCTATAAATGCTCTTGCTTAAGCGACGACTTTATTAATTATAAACTGTAGCAAATATCAATCATGAACTAAAAGCTATCCTTAGCGTGGCAACATCTAGTTGTCTAGGTCTACTGGTCACGCATCTTAGTCCTAGATCCTCCAGTTGTCGATCCAAGTTTCCTGGTGTTTAACCACACCGTAAGAACTATATATTTGTTGATAACTATATATTCTGGTACATCATCAGGCTATCTTTGCCTTGCAGGCTCGTCAACTTGGGTCCCGTGCTTATCGTCTGCCCGGCAACTGTCCTATCCCAATGGCTATCCGAGTTTCGCACTTGGATTCCAACCGCTCGTGTTGTAATTCTTCACTCTAGTGGTTCGGGTTACACTAACCCCGTAAGTATCTTTTTCCGGTTCGTTGCTCTCATAAATTTAGAACAGTACTGATGACAGTAATGCGAAAAACCTTCGACATTCTTCTGTACTTCCTTTCGTTTGCTTATTTAAACGTGTTGCATGCTATGAAAGCAATGTAAAATGCCGTAATTGGCTCTTTTTCCCGAATTATTGAAGTTTTTAGTCCTGTTGGTAGTTTCCCTGTCCTGTATCTTTATGGTTAGTATTGCAAGTTGATTGCCGGTAAATGGAAAAACTGAATTAGACATGAACAAGTAATTATTGCTGTATGGCCATTCATCGTACTAGTTACTTTTGCAAATTGTGGTTTACAATTTTTTGCAGACGCGGTACACAAGGGGTTTGGCTGGCTGACAGTTGTAGGTTTTCTTAGTAGTCAGTCACTTTACAATCCCATCTGCCTTACCAGGTTCGGCCGTGAGACGTTATCTGAGGTATACTGCACTATAACGTAGTTTATCAAGAATGATTACTTGTGAGACGGCGTACCTTGGCCACTTTTCTTGAATGCGATGTTAGAGAGAGAACGAGGATGCTTTATTTTTAAAAGGAATACCTTAAAACTTTCAGCAAAAAATGACTTCATTCTGACTTTTAATATTTGCTACCGATCAAATTTGATTTATTCCTCATTACAGGCTCATAGGTTGTTAAATTCGCGAACTGTAGATAAACACTAGTTTATGGTGATCAAAGATCACACCCAAAGGAGAAGAGGTTAGCCAGTGGGTTGGCATCATCAGCCCGCCATACAGTACCCTCGTGACTTTTCCCTATCCAGTACGGAAGCTTTTCTCCGTACTTGACTCTGCATGTTAGCGTTGTACGCGCAGTAAATGACTGTTTATTTTTCTGTTGACAGGTTTCAGGGTACTTTTAAGCTTCTTTGCGTGCCAGGCCCTACAGTACTCTTAATTCTACAGATCAACTATTCCTTGAAATATTAATTCACAAGCTCAGAGGGATAAACAAATCGTTCCGGTGTTCGACCAGCCTTCTTTATTCATAAAACACATGGACCTCGAACCTTTGCATCCATGTATACTCATCACTGCAAAGTGTGTCTTCTTCGTTCCCCTTTATTTGCCACTATTGTATATCCACCATCGTTTGTCCTTCCTTCCTGCCTAGTCTCGGTTGATGTCTAGTCTCTTCTCAACGTCAGGTTTTGTGCTGACAACCTACGGAACCCTTATGCTTCATAGGGATCTCCTGTTGCCGTTAGCGTGGCAGTACCTCATTCTGGATGAAGGCCACAAAATCAAGAATCCCGAGGCTGACATAACCATGACTGTCAAGCGAGTGAGTTCTGCAGAATGCTGCTTAAGTGCTGGATCTATGTCATATTAAGTATTGGTATATATAGAAGGTGCAGAGGTGTTGGGAGTTTGCGTTTGAATCTTATCAATGGGCGCAGTCTTTTGTCGCCTTTCTTTTTTGATTTGGCCAAACATATTCAGTGGAGGGATTTTTTTAAGATATTTTTATGTCAAAGGGTCTTGTCTGATCGCAGTGGTTGTCATTGCAAGGACAACCCAACCCAATTACTCGCGGGGGTTAGTGTTACTTTGCGGTTGAACTGTGCGTTTTTCCGGTGGGTAGACGCGCCTATTTGTACGCGCGCGGGAAGTCGGTCAAGGCTGTTAAGGTCAGCGAGTTTGGAAGCGCTCGCTGTGAATTTGCGTGACCTTGAGGCAGTTGAACAAGGAAGTCAGCCAGCAATGTTGGCTGCCTGCCACAGCTTATAACTACTCGAATTGTGTCAACAAATATTTGGGAGGCTGATGTGCCTTGCGGCTGCCTCCACAGCCGTAAGCCACTGCGCCTGATCGCGTCTCGGGTCTTCTTGACTCTGTCTCAGGTGGGAAAGAGGGGATCCTGCAGTAGATGCTGTGTAAGCCATTGTCCAGGCAGTGGGGCACAGGTGGACATCGTTAACGACGATAAAACTGTCAACAGGTGTGCTAATTTTTCTTTTGATAGTGGCATTCCGTTTGCAATCCTGACTGCATCTGTCGGTTGGTTTATTGAGAATCCTACGTTGTTCAAAAGAACCCACCAGAACTGCTATTTGCCTACTAATTTCTGACGAATCAGAGTACTTTTTGCCTAGACTAGGCCTTTGCCCTCCTCTGACTGATTGCACCACTTTATTCTGCCAATATACGTCACATGCTGCTTTTTCGTCAAAGCCTTTTACGCACTGCTGTTGCGTTACTGCGCTGTAGAGACACGCTCTTTACGCGATTCCTTGCTACTTGTAGTACGAAAAGACTTTGTATTTATGCCCGTTGTGCTCTTTGTACAGTTTTTCCTAGCATCTTGTGCCTCAAGCTTACCTAAGTATCAATTCGCCGTTTACTTTTAGTTTTTAACACCACACAAGCTGATAGTCTCCGGCACACCCATGCAGAATAACTTGAAGGAACTCTGGTCCATCTTCGATTTTGTCAATGTTGGCAAGCTGGGCAGTCTTCCGGATTTTCTACAGAACTTTGCTGTACCGATAACACAGGGTGGCTACGCCACATCCTCCCCTGTTCAGGTACCTCTGCTCCCCTTTTCAATTGCTAACTTCTTCTAAGTAACCGCTTTACTGGATTTACTGGGAACGGGGTATATGCTGTATGCGGTATTGTGGAAAGCAAACTATTGTATGTGAAGATAGCGCATTCCAGAAAAAAAGGGCTTAGCTTGCCATTGAAGATGCTTTTATGGCGGTTGAAATCTGCGTGGTCGTCCGGACTGCCTTCTATTTAGCCTCCACGTTCAGCTGCGATCATGTAGACTTCGGTCTAAGGCGCAGCTATCCTTTTCCCAAGCAGTTTATTCGTCGATAGTTGTAATAGTCTGGCTTGATTTTAATAAGCGCGTCTATAGTTCCTTTTTGCTGGTCCGAGTAAAGTGACTGGCGATTCGGCCAGGCTTTCGACTCAATCGAGTTACCCGATGACCACCACTTCAGAATCAGAATTGAAATTCACAATTTCTGCTGCTCTCTCTCGCGTCAAAGAGGTCCCAAGTAATACTATAATCCATTGAGGTTCTTATTCAAAAAAAATTGTGCAGTTAATAAAATAACATAGGGTTTATTCAAGTTTCATGCTGTACCTTATACTTACCTTAAGGCATCCATAGCCTGCTTATGCGTTTTTTGTATCCGACGTTCCTCCATTTTGTATCCACTTTATCAGACAAAAACGTGTTTTAGTGTTCAGTTTAGTTCAGTGTGTTTGAGGAACATGAGTTAATGTCAGAAGGAGAAAGGGCGTTCACTGGGAGAGTTTTGTATCTGACGTTTCGGATAGTTGTCTCTTCTACCTATCTTCAGCGAGTGAATACTCTGGCTCCTGGCTCTCGCTATATTGGATTGGTCGACTACGCACGCGGAAGAAAGGAGTGGTATATAGCGGGAGCCAGAAGTCAGAGTATTCACTCTCTGAAGATAGGTAGACGAGACAACTATCCGAAACGTCAGATTCAAAATAAACCTCTCCCAGTGAACGTCCTTTTTCCTTCTGAGGAAGAAAAACCTTACATCAAATCCTCCTTGTGACACATGTAGTTTAGAGGGGTGCCCCGAAGGGTAACTTTAGTGTTGAGTTGGAAGATAATCACACAAACGATACGAACGGTACGGAAAATCTGTATCAAGACCCGCGCGTTTTTTGGATTGGACCTATTTCGTTTGCGAACAGAATTGCAAAACATTGAAAGTAGTGCAATCTGGGCTAAAGGGACATGCTTATCTATCCATACTCGGCTATTTTTGGCTAGACTGTGCCCCCCAACTATATGCCAATCCAAAGTACACGGCAACGAGCCCGGGACGCAGTAGTTGAAGCAATGGGCTTCTAAC